CTGTACTGAGTGCTGCGGCGGACGCATGCGGACACCCCCACTGGGGCCTTCGGTGGAGCTCCCTATAAGGACACGGAACGCTGTGCTGGGCGTAGCGGACGCATGTGGCCACCCCCATTGGGGCCTCACGTGGAGCCCTTTGCGGGGCCACGAAACGCTGTACTGAGTGTGGCGGACGCATGTGGCCACCCCACTGGGGCCGCAGGTGGAGCTCCTTGTGGGACCACGAAACGCGTGCTGGGTTGTGCCGGACGCATGCGGGCACCCCCACTGATGATGGCGATGTCGATGTCGATGGCGATGACGATGACGATGACAATGACAATGATGATGATGATGATGATGATGATGATGATGATGATGATGATGATGATGATGATGATGATGATGATGATGATGATGATGATGATGATGATGATGATGGTGGTTGCTGCTGATGATGATGAGTATGATTATGATGATGATGATGATGATGATGATGATGATGATGATGATGATGATGATGATGACGGTGATGATGATGATGATGATGATGATGATGATGATGATGATGATGATGATGATGATGACGGTGATGGTGGTCATGATGATGATGATTATGATGATGATGGTGATGGTGATGATGGTGATGATGACGATGACGATGACGATGACGATGATGATGAGGAGGAGGAGGAGGAGGATTCGGATGAGGATGACGAGGATGTTGAGGATAATGAGGATGATGATGGTGGTGGTGGTGGTGGTGATGATGGTGGTGATGATGGTGGTGATGATGATAATGACGGTGATGATCATGATGATGATGATGATGATCATGATGATGATGATGGTGGTTGCTGCTGATGATGATGAGTATGATTATGATGATGATGATGATGATGGTGGTGGTGATGATAATGATGATGATGATGATGATGATGATGATGATGATGATGATGATGATGATGATGATGATGATGATGATGATGATGATGATGATGATGATGTTGGAGGAGGGAGGAGGGGGAGGAGGAAGGAGTGAGGAACGCGGGACGCTGTCTCTCCAAAGCGACACCACAGGATGGTTGGGGAAAAGATAGCTCCTTGTTGCCCCAAGTACCGCCCAGACGTCTCCAGGAGGCCTGAGAGGGCCCCATGGGAACCCCAGAAAAGGCCCCGAGAATGCCCCGAACTGGTTCTAGAACGGCCACATGCGCAACCCGCGAGGAGACCAAGAGCTCGGCCACGCGCGCGTCGAGGCAAGTGGGAGATTCATGTGGTCGTCGCTTTTCATCCCCACGCTTCTCCTCGCTCCTTTTTCTCGTGGCCCCTGGCACCTTCCGCACTGGCAGGGCTTCTCGCGGCCTCGGCGTGGCCCGACGCGCCTCGACGACGCCCCCCCGGACTATATGGCTTCAAGACGGCCCCGGGCAGCCGGCTGCAGCGAGCGGGCGAGCGATCACCGAAACTCCGGCGGTGCCAAGGGGGGTCACCACCAGGGGGGCGCCAGCTTCTCCTGGGAATCGAGGCTCCAGGATGGAGAGTCGAGGGGTCGAGGATGTTCTTGGACGTTCCTTTGCGTTTTCGGGGCTCTGGGGGGCCCAGTTCCTCGAGGAAGTCTCGAGGAAGTGGCGTTTCCTCGAGGAAGTGGCGACCCCCCTAGTGGTGACCCCCCTTTGCACTGCCCCAGAAACAAGGAATAAAGAAGTCTGGCGATCAGGCCAAGAGTTGCAGGCCACCAGGTCAGCAACTTCAGTGGAAGTATTGCAGGCAGGAGGTCGAGCAAGCAAGCAAGCAAGCCTCGCCCTTGCATGCGAACAGGCTTTCGTAGCCGCCGGGGAGATATCGAGTATAATCAGATCGTGCCGCTTGCCGTGGACGCGGTCAACGGGTCAGCATTGGTCAGCTACGGCGCCGGGATCAGCGCGTGCGAGACAGGCGAGCAGCAGGCGATGTCGTTGCTCAGCGAGATACGGCAGGCGAAGTTATAGCCCAATGTTTTCAGCTACAGCACTGGGATCAGCGCATGCGAGAGCCACGAGCAGAGGCAGCGGGCTCTGCAGCTGGTCAGCAAGATGTGGGTGGTGAAGGAGCAGCCCAATGCCGTCAGCTACAGCGTTGGGATCAGCGCGTGCGACAGAGGCGAGCAGTGGCAGCGGGTTCTGTAGCTGCTCAGGGAGATGCGGCAGGTGAATTTGGAGGCCGACTTCATCGGCTACAGTGCTGAGTTGGGATCAGCACGTGCGAGAAAGGCGAGTAGCCGCAGCACGACATGCGGCTGGTCGGCCAGACGTGGGCGGCGGAGTTGGAACCCGACGTCGCCGTATCTACATTGCCGCGAGTAGAGCATGTGAGAGAGGCAAGACATATTCGGCAGCAGGCGATGCTTCTGTCCAGTGTGATTAAGCAGCAGAGGCTGGTCGAAATGACACCAGCTACAGCAGCGTAGCTAAAGGGCCATCTGAGCGTGTCGGGACGAGAAGAAGTGGCAGCATGCGGTATATGTGTTCTTGGAGTCGCCGCGGGCTGAGGTGGAGCACCGTCAGTCTCAGCACCAGTATGAGGGATCTCTCCCAGTCGGTTGTATTTCAGCCACTTCAGTAGTCAGTTGTGTTGTTAGGATCAGCGCGGGCAGAAGAGGCGGGCAGTAGCAGTCTGCCTGTTGCTGCTCAGCTGGATGAGGACCTTCCCTTTCAGCCCGCCGTCGGTAGCTACCACGCTGGGGTCCACGCGCGCTGGGAGCGGCAGCAGGCTCAGTCGCTGGCGTCGCAGGCTAAAGGAGATCCGCTGCTTGGCGAGACGCGGAAGGCTAAGGCGGAGCTACTCCTCAGTAGCTGCAGCGCTGGGATCAGCGCGGGTGCAGAAAGCAAGCAGTAAGTGGTAGTGGGTCCTCTGTGAAGCAGCGGCTGCAAACTGTGCCGCTGCTACGCGAGATCTGGGAAGCCAATTTGGGGCCCGGCGTCACGTATGTTGATAGTATTGCGAACCTTCTAGGAAACATACATTCTCAATCTCACGATTGGCACAGTTGTTTGCACGCAGCTGAAGCCGATTCAAAGATGAGGAGGTTGTCCGCGCAGTTGGAGTCCGAGGCGAAGTTTCTATATTGTAGTGGCCTTCGGCCAGTGCCGCCGATCCGGGTCGCTCGGGGTTATTCTCCAGACGCAGAAATTATGGGCGCACACTCAAACGCACACACACAGTCACACCACTTAACCTGCGCCGCAGACATGCGCACACAGCATCACCCACACACACATACTAGTTGGGAAACGCTCCTGTAGTACTAGTAGTAGTATTAGTAGTAGTAGTAGTAGTAGTAGTAGTAGCAGTAGTAGTAGTAGTAGTAGTAGTAGTAGTAGGTAGTAGTAGTAGTAGTAGTGGTTGTGGTAGTAGTGGTAGTAGTAGTAGAGGCCTCGTTCCGCGGCTTCTCTCGACTTCCCGCGGTCTCTCTCAAGTTTCGAGCACGCGGTGAGTTTCACGATATATGTGTGTGTATGTACGCGTGCATGCATGTATGCATGCATTGATCATGTGTGCCTGTGTGTAGGTACGTATGTATGTATGTATGCTTGTGCGCGTATGTATGTATTTAGTTTGTATGTATGTTTGTATGTGTGTATGATAATATGTGTGTATGTGTGTGAATGTAAGTATGTATGTCTGGAAGATTGTTTTTCTATGTATGCAAATGTGTTTAAATGTAGGTATGTATGCATGTGTGTATGGATGTGCGTTTGAAGAGCGAGGATGTTTCAAAGAAGAGGCACTCGGTGACGCGATCGTTGAGGGATAGGAGTGAGGTCGCAGAGGAGGAGGAGGAGAATGAGGAAGAGGCGATAACTTGAAGGAAAACGATGAGACGGAGGACATCCTGCCGGTGGCGCCCTGGGCGGTGCCGCGGAAGAAACCGGGGGCCTGCCGGAGGCAGTCTGGAGGCCTCTGGGGAGCTGTTTTGGGGCCTCTTGGAACCTCTTTTGGGCCTCTTGTGGGCTTCTTGGGGCCCCTTGGGGGTCTCTTGGGGCCTCCTGGGGGCCTCTTGGGGCGGAAAGCTCGGTTCTTTCGGTTCGTGGTCCCCCTCTTGGGCCCCTCTTGGGGCTCTCTTGGGGCCTTCTTGGGCTGTCCAGAGGCCCTCTTGGGCCGTCTTGGGGCCCTCTTGGGCCGTCTTGGGGCTCTCTTGGGCCGTGTTGGAAGCATCGTGGGCCGTCTTGGGACGGACTTGGGGGCCTCTTGGGCCGTCTTCGAGCGTCGGACGCCCGAAAAGGCAAGAACGCTAAAAACCCTGAGAAAACCAATGAAAATCAACGATTCTGGCCTCTTGGGGCCCTCTTGGGAGGCCTCTTGGAAGCTTCTTGGGGCGTCTTGGAGACACCTTGGGCCGTCTGGAGGCCATCTCGGGCGTCTTGGAGCGATTTTTCGGCGACTCGGGGCCCTCTTGGAACCCCTTGGGGGTCTCTTGGGCCCCCCCCCTCCTCCAAAGCGCCGGAAAAAGCGGAGCATGGCGCCCCCCCCCCCCCTATCTTCCACTCCCCCGGAGCGGCCCCGGGGTTCGCCGGAAACTCGCACCCCCCCCCCCCCCCCCCACCCCCCCTTCCCCGGCAGAGCCACCCCGGCGACCCCCCCAGAGGCTGAAGCTCAGCCTCGAGGCTGTAGCTGAGACTCCTTGAAACTCACACGCCGGATCGGCGGATTCTCTGGTATTGGAGTGCGGTGGAATGGCTTCCGAACGTCGTCAGTTCATCTCGGCACGTTCTGCCCCTCTTCCTGGTTCCTCCCTCACGCCGATGGGGACCTGCAGTGCGCCGCAATGGGGACCTGCGGTGCGCCGCAGGCAGCCCTGCATCTTGGGAAACGATAAAGGTCCCTGCCTCCGTACTCTCCCCGCAGGGGCCGCTTCAAGTCACCAGGCGTGGCCCAAGAGCCCCTGGCGCCGTGTCCTTGTCCTCCTCCTCCTCCTCCCCCCTCACCCTCCGCCTCTCTCCTGCAGCTGACCCTCTGAGCGCAGACCCAGCGGGAAGGTACTGACGTCAGGAACCGCCCTGGTGGCGGCCGTGTACTTCCTCTTCCTGCAGGAGGAGCCCCGCGTGCTCGCCGCCGCTTCTGCCGCCGCCGTCATCGTCATGGGAACTGGCCCCGCCGTCCCCGCCGCCGCCGCCGCTCGCCGCCGCCGCCGGCGTGGTCGCTGCCGTCGCCCCCTGCACCGGCCTGCCCCTGCCCGGCTCTTCCGCCGCACGCGGGGCCGAGTCGCCCACGGCTCGTTCCCGTTGGCCGCTCGCGGGCGCCGAGAGCACCTCGGCGCGGCGCGGGCCAGGAAGCCGAGAGGGCTTCCTTGGCCCTTCCTCCTCTCTCCCTGTCTCGGCCATGCGTCAGGGTGACCCTTCGCCCGAGTGGCCCTCGGCCCGAGCCCACTGGGGCCCCCCGATCGCTGATGCGCAAGCAGCGGCCGGCGCGCTTGAGGGGGTTTGGCCCCCCCCCCCACGCCCCCCTTCAGCCGCGCACCTCGTCTCGGTGCATTCTCGACATGAACCACTTTTCTGATGGCGGCGCGCTTCGGACTCCAGATCGTCGTCTGGATGAACAAGAGGCTGCGGCATTCACGCGCGCGAGCCGTACAGCGTGTCAGCCAGGCATCAAGAGGTTAAGGCCACGAGGGTCAAATTACCGAGGGGGGTAATCAACGCTGGGTTTTCTCACCCCGTCGCCACGCTCGTCCTCCCCTCCTGGGCGTGTCCCGCCTTGGAGCTGGCCCCACAAGTCAGCATCAGCGTGGCGCCGACGAGCAAGATAGACGTCTTCTGGCTCGGCAGCAGCCCATTCCTCCACCCACTCCCGCCCCTTCTTGAGCATCCGCCGAGTCGGATGGCAACCTCTGCCCGACACCGCGTTCGAGGCGACCCGTCAAGACGCGGGCTCCTCACCGCAGGCACGATTTGCTCGCTGGTCCCACTCTTTCCGCCCACCATTGGCGGTTCACCAGAACAAACATGCGCCCATGGCCACGTCGGCCCGTGCACCCATCTGGTCTGCACAGAGCCTTCGGTTTTTAGAGCTTGGTGTTGAGATTATTGCCGATACATAGCGAGCACCAGGTTGCTTGGCTCAGCTCCTACTGATTGTGGTAAGGTGCGGAGTCTGGATTTCTTGAGACTGGAAACACGCAGGGAAGATTTGCTCCCAGCAGCTCCAAAGAGGTCGCGTGGAACGCGAAAGAATGTCTTTCGTCGTCATCCCCCGTTTCTTTTTCATTCTGCGTCTGGGTAGCAGTTGCGCTGAACTTCGCACTTGTGGCTCGTAGTGGCATGCGAAACTATCGACTACTCGCTGAGCTTACATCCCGACGATTCGGGTATTCGGCGACAGGCTACGAAGGAGTCTGTACAATGACACACTGATACACACCGCTTCGCGGGGGACACGCCAGGACAAGAGTTCCATCCGCTTATGTTTTCTCCTCTTCTCGTCGCGTTCCCACGTTACCCTCCTACTACTCCTATGTCCCTGTATCCTCACATGCCCCATCGTCATCGTCCGCTTCCTCTTCCTTCAACCCTACGCTTCTCTCTAACCCTACCTCTCTCTCTCGCCCTCTCGTCCTCCCTTCTCTCTCTCTCTCTCTCTCTCTCTCTCTTTCTCTCCCTCTCTCTCTCTCTCTATCTCTCTTTGGTTCTCTCGCTCTCTGTCGCTCTCTCCCTCTCTCTCTCTATCTCTCTCCCTCTCTCTGTATATACAGAACATGTATGTGTATAAATATGTAGATATCAACCAGCGTTGACTCCAAATCGACTCAAATCAAGGAATCAGAGGAATCGAACATGCCTGGAATCCGCAACTCAACAGGCAAGCAAGCGCGCAAGCAAGCAAGCGCACAAGTGCGCTAGCAAGCAAGCAAGCAAGCAAGCAAGCAAGCGCTTAGAGGTGGTGCATAGGCATAGGCATAGGCGAAGTCATAGGAGTTAGGGGGAGGCATGGGCATAGGCATAGCCATAGGAATTAGAGTGGGCATAAAAATTAGGGGGGTCAACGGATCAGTTAGCAAGATTTGAGTTAGAACTCCTATAGGGCAAGCCTGATTGGAGAATACACATATACGCATGTACCTATGCATCTATATATAAACAACTAACTACATGCATATATGAATATATATATATATATACATATATATGTACATATATATAATCCCAGTATCTCTGTTTATGTGTGGTTTTTGCGTATCGACATATATATATAGAGAGAGATAGATAGTTCCCCCTCTATCTTTCTCTCTCACTCTCTCTCTCTCTCTCTCTCTCTCTGTCGATACATTTCTCGAGGGTGGTTTGTGGCAGGGCCGCTCCACTTCTACCCTAATGAGGATAATGATGTTGGCGATGTCGCTGGTGATTATGATGATGACGACCGCGGTGATGATGACGATGATGGATAGTGACCATGAAGATAATCATAATGACGACAATGATAGTCATAGTTGTGACGATGTTGGTAATCATGATGATGATCCTGATCAGGACAGTGATG